CCCCTCCCCTCCCCTCCCCTCGTCCTCGTCAACGTAACGTGCCTTTGTGTCACTGGCTTCCCCTTTTCTTTTCTTTTTTTCTTTTACATTTATACACAAACATACATGATGCATCCAAATTAAATTTGGAGTAAAGTTATTTTTATCCCAGAGCTGAATCCGTTGTTATCATACGAAGATAACAAATAAATATCATAAATATGAACACTTTAACATTTATCTTAAATTTATATTAACACTAATTGATGCTATATTTATTAATTCATTTATTTTCATAATTAAATATCCCAAATTTAAGTATCGTAACTCCTCCTTAGAGCTATCTAAAATGCAAACCTCACCTAGAGGGAGTAGTCTACAACTTCAGATTTATGCCATGTTTCCAATTTTGTAAGAATTAATAAATATATATATATTTCAAAAAATTTTAAACTTTTTAACTTCCAAACACCATCTCCAAACTCTTTTTATCTACCTTGAAATGTACAATACTTGCAGTGGAGTGCTAGGATAAGATTACGTAAACACCCACATTTTTCATAATACAAAAACTTTTATTTATTTTGTATATATTAAGTATATCTACTTCATCCTTTTTTTAATCAAAGTTTGAGTTTTCGATTTTCTTTTTGGGATACATGTGAAAAATTTTGAATTATATAAAAGGAGGGATCTCGTGTTTTATAATAAATCACATTTTTTAGACTATTAAAATTTAAATTTAAGATCATTATCTTACAATATTAAAATTTAACCAATAAGATATGTATGGTTGAAAATGAGTTTACATTCCTTTATTTATTAACCTGAATTTAAATGTGCGAAGTTTGAATTGTAAAATTTAGCTATAAATTGCCATAAATAACATGACTAATGCAACATTGATTTTGTCCAATGGACCGACACATTTAATAATAACAAACATAATCCACCGCAGCTTTAATTGTCTACAAGTACCATAAAGTTAGAACAAGTTTTTAACCTATTTTCACGTGTTTTTTTTATACATTCAAAAGCAAATAAATCGCATTTACCATTTTTTTAACTTATCTGATTTTTTTGGGAATTAATAAAAAAAAATCTAATAGGCAATACCCATGAGATCACAGTGGCGAGCTGTCTATACACTGCAATTGGCGCTCGTGGATCGGAAAACAAAGGCTGCCATCAAGCCAGTGACAATAATTTAATATTTCCTCACGGTATTCCCCCAACTCTCCAACCGGCGCGTTTACACACTCCCCGACCAACCTGGTATCGAAGCGCATGCGGGTAAGCATAAAACGACAATTTAGATTTTCGAAAGACGCTACCGTCTCGCTGAGCTTCTGTCCAGGTCACTTGACTCGACTCCAGTTCCCCAAATAATTGGCGCTTGTGGTCTCACGCTCTTTCTTTCCGATGGGAGTAGATTCCCAGTTGGTGAATATTTTATAGTTGTACTTGGCGGTGTGGTACTGTACGAACGAACCCAGGGTCTCTCCCTATACCCACCGTCGATCTTGTTTAAACGGTCATGATTTCATTTATTACATCAATGTGGGACCTTGTCGGGGGCAACCGAGTCGCTGCTATTTCTGTGTATCTAATAATAAATCTAACACACTCTAGAGCCTAAAGTACGAATAAATCCCTATATATGAGGGAAGTTTAAGGGGCATTACAGTAATATCATATCTCAAGGGGGTTTTTACTGACGTGGATATTAAATTTTTACTGTTCACAGTGGTCGGGTTGAAAAGTCAGTAGGCTGTAGTTTCTAGGGTTATATATTTATATATATAAATATATATTTTAATGTTTGGAAAAGGGCATATGATTGGATTGGGTTTAAAATTGGGCTAATCCGTGAAGCCTCAAGTTCGGCCCAGCGACATATGAAGTTGGAAAAATAAAAATTCAATGTGATTGGTAATAAAGTTAAAAACTATTTGAGAAAGCATGTGAAAAAATGGTGAAATAAGAGATTTTTCAGAGAAGCCAAGGGGACCGTGATCAGCATATCCCCCTGGCTTAGCTGGCTCTATGCGGGAAGTGTGCGTAAATTATTGTTCACAAAAAATTGACGTGACGCAAAACTGTACTTAGTTAGACAATACCTATTTATTTGAAAAGGATAAGGACAGTATACGTAAAGCAAATACAACATTATATTGTGCATTTTTCTTATAAATTAGAACAATCATCCTCAATTTGTTTAAAGATATATTAAATAAATATTCATAAAATTATTATTTTATTATTTTGATAATAAGATAACATAGTATTTATTTAATTTTTTATTAAAAAATGATTCTAATTATTATTATTATTATTTTGAATAAAAGGACACATGGTTTATTATTATATACCATTATTAAGAGACTAAGTAAATTCGGAACAGCGAATATTAATGCGAAACTATTCGTATCACTTTCCAACTCAGGGTTGTCTCCACTCTGGAGATAGCAAAAACAAAAGGGGAAATAGTAACCCCTCCCAAAAACAAAAGGGCATATAATCGGTTTTTACAGTTATTTTTGGATCTTTTTTCTGTTTACGACGACATCACCAAAATTTACCTTAAATCCTCTGTCACTCAACGCTCTCTTTTTGTCTAAAAACTTTGAATACTCGCTTTCTTTAGTGGCCACGTCACTCGGGGATTTTCTTACAGCCTTTTAAAGACAATGATTGGATGAACGTTGACACGTGGAACTTCACGAGAGCGAGTAGCCAATGAAAGTTAAACAGTACTTTCAGTCATGCGAATAAAAATAAAATTCTTTTGAAGCAGGGGAAAGGGGGAGGGGCGGTTGATATGACTATCAGTCTGTCACCGTCACTTTCTCTTTCTCTCTCTCAAGGTAATAATCCGGACCCACAATAACATATCATTTCCTCAAGTGGGTACCCACAATTGATGGGCTCCTCATCCAAAAATTGAAATAATAATACCACCCTTATGAATTTGGGCGAAAATTGAGAGATGGGTCTCTGAATTTGAAGGGAAAAATGGGTAGAGTCTTCGCCTTTGTTTGATGAAGATGAATAGATGATGTTGATGATGATGCTGATGATGTGGAAGGGGCAGATAGGTGGGATCCAAAAACTGCAATAGACACGTGCCACTGTCCAGGCAGCTGACGTGGCCCAATAGCACACGTAAGGTGCTGTGTTGCTCCATCAATCGCTTTGACCACTTGGTCACCGACAGGAGCTGGCCAGCCTGTCACTGTTACTCTACCCTCTTACGTACATACATTACGTGACTAAACTATTCCCCTCATATCTCATTTTTCCCATAAATCTTCTTCCATTTTAACTTTTATCCAATAAAAACAACAAATAGATTTAACTCAATCAATTGTAGAAACGTAAATACGGTAATTCACAAAAGGCATCGGTTCGAAATTAACATCTGCTTAATAGGATGTGTGTAACGTACCATACCCATGCCATTTAACTCATTCTTTATCGAAATAGACAAAATTACCAATACGTCAATCTCTTCTTCTTTTTTTATCTCCGTTTCTATTTTGTTTTATCGCAATTGAGGACTTTGACGCAACAACAACAACAGAATTTCTAAAGTGACAGGCACATATGGGAGTTTGCAAATTGACCGCTGGAAACACATTAGCGAATAGGAGAAGAGAAGGGGAAAAAAAAATGGAATAGAAAGGAACACCACACGTGCGTCAACACGCGCACGCAATAATTGAGGGCCCCACTTGAATGTCTTGGTGGACCCAATTTTTTAGGTTTGTTGGGTTTTACTATAATTTTCATAGCCAAAAATATAATTTTGGGCTTCCTGCTCATGGGGCGCAGGATAAGGGGTATAGGATAAAGAAAAGAAAGGGAAAGTCCGAAAGCCCTTTTTCTCTGTCCCTTTTGGGTTAGATTTTTGTTAATGATGGATTAATGAAGTGGGATTAAGGGGTGGGTGATGATTATGGGCATTGGAGTTTGAGAAATAGGGGAGAAGGGTGTGGGGACTCACACTCTTTTTGGTCTTTCTTTGTTATCGAAAGGAAAGTACAAAAGGGGGATGAGAATGAAAATCAATGCCACACGAGAGAGATGATGACAAGAAAAGAGAGAGACCCTACCCTGCCCCCTAATTATTTTGCTATCAATACATAAAAAGAGAGAAAGAAAAGCCACAACGAGAGATGAAATTGGGTTTTGCCATTTTGGGCCTATATTCAACTCAAAGCCCAAGATCATTTGAACCCTCGTTAAATGAAAACATGGAAAATTTAGTGAAAATAACGACAAATAATATATATAAATAAATATATATGCGAGCGTGCACGCTTGACTTTAACGCCATAAATTCAGACGAACAACCTCTTAAAAGACACAACACCCTGTTGACACAAAGACATGCTAATAGAAGACGCGCAATAATGTTTGCAAGCTAAGGCTGATTGACGTTGGTGTCCCTTCAAATGACAAAAAGGAAATTCCATGCAAACGAAATCATTGAAAGAGATTTTGCAGTTGTATGAGATGGCTAGTTGAACACGTTAAAACATAATTTTCTTTTGTTTGTTTGGGGGGAGAACGAACGATGAACCTAAGATGTTGTAGTCTTAATTCATACATACATAAATCATTATATATATCATCTATTATACATATATGATATACTCCGACCTACTAAATAATTTATAGCAGCTGTCCCAGCCATCTATTGTCCAGATGTTAGGCCACACATGACTTAATTATCCACAGGGTGGAAACAACAATGGGGGACCCAAATGCAGCAGTATTTGAACTAACTTGCCGGCATTACGCGATTACAATCCATTACACCCCGCCTTTCCTTTGAATTTTATGCACAAACGTCTTCCCCACATATCTGCAACTAGCCTTGACTCAAAAGTCTTTGTAAATCTTGATAGGAAACAATGACTATGGCATTGCCTAATCTTGGAAAAACGTACAGAAATTGAAAGGAGTGGCAATCATATTCTGTCTTTTGTGTGATGTTTTGGAACTCATATCCCTTGGCTAATTTTTACCCCAGTGGACATGTTTATCAAACGATTTTGATAGATACAACTGGCACCCAAGAAAGATTTTGCATTGGCTCAGTGGGAAAGTGTGGGACAACTTAGCATTTCCCTTCAATCTAATTCATTGATGACCTTTTCTTAGGGACACACGTTGTGCTGTATATCGATAAAGGGTTGTATTCGGTTAAGCAGCCATTTTCTGGACGTCAAATACGGTGGGAAGGCATCCAATACAACCCTAAAATATGTGGTCAGGGCCTGCACCAAAGTACAAAAACTCAGGAGAAAAGCTGGGAAGCACATGCTTTTCTTAAGTCCAAGTAGGCAGTTCCATTTAGACTAGATTGCTTAATGGAGTTGCCTACTTCAAAATCAAATGATCAATAGATCAAAACAGCTTGTCTGTGCCTAACGTACTCTGTGTTTGTCCATTTCATAATGTGGTCAGCAGACGCAAAAGTGAGCTTCATGTGAAAATTTTTTCCTTCAAGAATCCATAACTAACACCAACTCTTTTAGTCCTAATCTAATTCAGGGTTTTCACTGCAAATATCAATACAACTACAGCAACAGCAACAATGGTGGTCGGAGATAAACAAAGAAGAAGTTAGGGGATGGATGAAGTTGATGCTTCCAAGTGAGCACAATATTCAAAACTAAATGCTATAAATGCAGAGAGCTTAAAACACATGGAAGAGATTTTTCCAGTTCACCAAGGGGGGCCTACAAGCCTCGAAAACCTGATCGATGACCACGTGCACGTGTGCAGCAGGTGCCCAACACCATTAATGGCTGAATTAACCACAAACTTAACTCTCTTGGCATGAATGCATCATTCCCTGTACCCTAAAATGAGAGAGGCTTATCTCGGGTCTAGAAGTTACCCAGTTGTTTGAAGAATTAATGGGCCAAAAAGAGAAAATCAATGCCACGGGGGACCACTATGAATGATTCGTACGAGAAAACTCCTGTTGAGAAAAGGCTCAACCATTCAAGGATTCCCCTGTTTTCTTCTCTCGTGGCTCATGCATTTATATGTGTATGCACAGATCAAATACCAGCATTTAGTAAGATCTTTTAAGTGTTCTGATCCCTGAACGGTACTCACATTTGCTAGCCCAAGTACCAATACTAAAAAAAGCCTCAAATTTATTTGTTTCATGTCTCACGCAAAGGGAAATTTATCGACGGAAAGCCAGGAGAAGAACCCGACCGCAATCAACACCCAGGTATGGCTACCTGATTAATTAGACAAATGGACAAAAGGATACAAGCCTGGGTCTTTTACATTACCACCAAGAAGGGAAATAAGATTGAAATGCAAGGAAATAAATTCCTATTAAAAGTATTATTAGAGGGTAAAAAATGCTGTTTCTGCAGGGAATTTGCTCCCTCTCAACAGCATCCTTTCACTTGAATAAATTCAAGGACATGAAAATAATTAACCATGATGTGTGAAAAAAAAAATTATAGTGATTTGGAATTTTGATCCTCTGTGTAAATAAGTTCCTGGAATCCGCTGACTTAAAATGGTTCTCTCTCTCTCTCTCTCTTTCTCTCTCTCATATATAAATATATATATATATATATATATATATATATATATCTCTCTTTTCCTTTTACTTTGTTAAACCTGTGACTGAGTTTTTTAGACCTTCTCATCAGTCTCGGTGGAATCTGATAACTCATCCTGTTTTTGCGACTTGTTGCTTGGAACTGGATAAATCCGACGCTCCTTCCCTCCTGGCTTGGATGAGGCATTACCATACCAGATCATTCCTGCTACTGCAATGACCATGCCCAGAATTACGTGTAGATTAAGACCCTCTTTCCCAAAGAAAATGAACCCTAAGATAAGGACAAGAATAGTCTTCATATGGCCAAGCACTTGGAATGATACAGCCGTAAACCTGCCAATGCAGATGAACTGGCTGAGGTTGGTCCCCACTGCAATGGTGCACGACAGGATTATGAAAAACTGCAAGCAAAGAGCATCACATATCATTTACAGTAGTCATGATTACCTGCAAGCAAAATCTATTTATATTCATACATTAACTTGCACATGCACTACAGAAAGTGGACTTTACAACCATGGCCCTCCATTTTGGAGACAGCATAGGACAAAATATCTGGTGATTGGGAGGATCTGAGGCTAGGGGTAGAGATTCTAGGTCTGGGCTGTAATGTTGTTCACAAATACCAGCAGACAAAGATCATCTACTTTTTTTACTATCCTAATTTTGAGCATAAGATGTTAGAAGCATGATCTCACTCAATTCTTTCAAATTCTAAAAATGTCATGTAATGTATGCAATGGGACGGTTAACTGCAGCCAGCTGGATTACCAAAAAATAGAAGAAAGGAGAAGCAAATTATCAAAATCAACATAGTGGCCAAGAATGCATGTCAGTCCTATACCTTTGAACTTAAAATACAGATATGCAACTAGACACAGTTTATAAAACCTTGAAAAGAAGAACCTTATTAAAATACCTCTTTTCTATTTGAATTTATAGCATGTGAATTACTATTAGTCAGAGGATTGAGCAGGAGGTAAACCCAACTCTACTCTGAAATAGCTGATATTTTAAATATTGTGGAAGAACAAATTGATGCAGAAACTTTGCATACATTTATGCCAACCCAAAATAAGTAAGGAAACCAATAGTTGACTTCTAGTTTAAAGATAAAAACATGGACAACTACACCCATATTGGCAAATCATGTTTTAAATGGAAGACAAGATTACTCTTTCTCATTAAGATCATCTCACTAGGTGGTTATTCAAGCAAAATGTATATCCATAAGAGAGAGAGAGTGAGAGAACTATCTATATATAAAGCACTCAAAAAATTGTATCAAATAATTAAGCTTCACTAATAACATTATAAAAGTATTTCATGTAACCTGGTGATAACAACTTCAGTGCCAAGCAATGGGCTAATTTTCTTCTTCAGTCAATTATCAGGCATTCCAATAGGCTAAAACAGTCAAAACTAATGAATTAGTTATCCTAGGCAGTGTGAGTTGTGCTCTAGAGGTATTGCTGTTCTTGCATTTTAGGAAAGGTTGGTAGGAGGGGGAAAAGACAAAACCATTTGCACTTGAAGATCTGAAATTGATAAGATTGATATTCGAATCTTCCATATTTTCTTCTTTGTGCATAGCTGTCATAACCATATGCAGGAATGGAAATCACCTCTCAGTAGGAACACAAAGAAATACAAAGACATTCTCACATTATTGTTAGCAACCAAAGAGCTTTTTCTGGGTCTGTCAGGTGTATCCTCCTGCCCTCCTTTTTGTGCCAATTAGATGTGGCACAATGAGAGTACCAAAATAAAATTGTTCTAGACATACAAAAGCACCAACTTTGACAATGGCCCCAATAAATAAGCTGGTGCAAATAATAACAGTCATAATTGGGATGCTAGCTATTGCAATGACAATGAAAGACATGTAGCATTTTATGAACACTCAAAGGCTGTGGATAAAGAGTGAAGGCTCATTATAAATGGAAGTTTATCCATATATGTACCAATACAACTTAATTTAAAAGTATAAACACAACACGCATTAAATAATTGATCAGCCACAATGACTTCATGAGTATGCAGATGCTAGTAAAATGGAGCAGTATTATAAGTCATGCTTAACAACTAAAGCCTATTCAACTCTGATAAGAACCTTACCACTGATATCACAGTGTAGTCATAGGCATAAACCTTTTTCTCTGTTAACCAATAGTCGACAAAAGGACCAACTAACAGCAGGCTTGCAGCTTGTACTGGAGCAGTATGTCCCAATAAATCGAATGATCCTAAAGAATGCTTCCTTTGAAGAAAATGTACATACTGAAACAAAGAAGGAAAACAATAAAAGAGAAAGACCCAAAATATCAATCCGTGAACAAGATTAGGCATGGTTGATGTCTCATTTCCTGAATGGACTTCAGCCATGACAAACACATATTGAACCTTGTTCAATCATAAAATTATCAGACATACTGCCCAAAATTTTCTTCCAACTTATTGCACCTTATATAAAATCAGGATATTGGTGCAGATTTACTTACATACTGCTGGAGGGCTGTGCTCCAGACTGCTATTACAGCAGCTAAAAAACCCTTGAAATTGACACTCACATCTGTAACAGTACAGACTGCAACTCCAAGGAGAACTACTACTATGCTAAGCTTCGTATCCCTTGAGTAGCGGACCTTGTCGAAAACAACTTCCAGAAAGCAAGATACTGGTATCATGCTCAGCTTTGCTATCTGAGAATATTTTTTAAAGAAAACAATGTATCATAGTTCCAAGAGATCAAACATAGAAGATATAATAATAATCTAAGTCACTACGGCTGACCTGATAAAAGCCCACTGAATTCCACATCAAACTCACATTCATTCCAACAATCGAGAAGTTTGCAAACAAGACAAATTTGAGAAGCTCGGGTAATGGTATATAAGAGCCCTGAATATAGCCCAGCCATCTAAGAAAAACAGTCAACAAGGTTGTTGTGGCAAAATGCAAACCCGTTAACGTTGTAGCTGCAGCACAATAATAAATGGGACACAACATCAGGGTCTGCCAGAAATGCTCAGGTAAATTTTGTTAACATTTGACTTGCTTCATCAGAAGCAACATAGTCAAAACAAGATATATTTTTCATATGTAAGATTTTTTTGGTATCAAGAGTGCTGAGCTACACAATGGGAGGTAGCCCTCTCTCATCCCAAAAATCTCACCCCACATAGGATTTGAACCAAGGATCTTAAGAGTTTTTCGGTATCAAGAGTTTTGAGCTACACAATGGGAGGTAGCCCTCTCTCATCCCACAAATCTCACCCCACATAGGATTTGAACCAAGGATCTCCTAGATGGAGGCTCAAGTTCTGACTGCTGGGGTATCCCGTTGGGCACTTTTCATATGTCAGATCAAAAAGAAAACAATTCTTCGTTTATCCAACTTTAAAAGTTCTGTTCACTTCTTCACCTTCATCTATTCATAAAAGTTCTCCCCATTAGAAAGGCATTATAACTCAACATATTCATAATTCTAAAGTCTGGTTTGGAATCTTCCAATCAATTTCTTAAACTTGTGTATCCAACTGTATTTTTACGATACAATAGTATTTGTTTAAACCATGCTTAGATTCTATATGAGATGTAAAGTAACTAGATATACATATTTGCATTGACAAAATGCAACTGCAAAACATCATCAAATAACTTCAAGTCTTCAACCCCCTAGAATATGTCCAGAGGGCTCTTAAGCAAATACTTTTCCACATAAATGTCATATCTTATACAAAATTGTAATGTCCTATATAGAATGGTGTGACATATACCTTCCTGCATAGTTAACTTGTTTGTTCATGTCTATAACAGTTACTAAGCCTTTCCAAAAATTTAGGGCCTGCTTAAGTTTGGAAGTATTTTCCATGATTCATCTCCACTTTTACTCTAAATATAATCTACGTACACGGGTAAATAACTAAATCTGGGGAACCTTGTTTTACTAGTTCTATGGAAAGTTGAAAAACAATTTAAAATTGCTGACCAATTCATTTATCTTCTTCCAAATGTACGTAAAAGAGGAAATGGAAAATGAGAAACATTTTCCAAAACTAAGTGGGCCTTAAGCCGTTTCAATTCAAAATCTAAACCAAAATTGAAGAGTAACCATTGCCCTAGTTGAAACGGCCAATTTTTTAAGATGGATGATTTGTAAGGTTTGAGATTGTCTGACTATTAGTTATAAATCAAATTTCTGCTATGGGTCCAAAGAAGATTGCTTTTATACTTATTTAGCTTTGACCACATATAATTATTTTCCTAATTTAATAATGGACTGAACTTTTCAAGAAAACATTATTTTTTGAAATATAAAATGGACAAAAGAATATAGGAAGATAACTTTTTCCCCAATAAAACTTCTGGGTTTCTCTTTGCTCTTCCTATTCAACTCAACAAACACATCCTAAGCGAAAGGGAAAACCAAATCAATGTCCTTCAAAAACTATTTGTCTTGCTACTCTGTTTCACCCTTTTAGGTTGATCATATGGAGCTCAGACCCATGGAATAACAAGACTACATAGAAACACAATGAACATAAAGCGCATGATCTGTTAGGAATGTAATGCAAAGGCGAAGTTTATCATAATTTGCAAGAAAACTGTTCATTCAGAACATACCAAAACTGAAGCCATGCGTAGCCATCAAGGCTTTATTGACCATGATTATACCCACAGATGTGACAACATTGAAAAACCATGAGGCCACATCCAGAGCTGCCTTCCTATCAGCCTTGCTTCCAGACGACATTTTTAACTGTAGTGTCCAATTTATCAAGCAGAGTATTTGTTTCTCAATTTCATGTGAGCAAAAATTACGTTCTGGTGTCAAAGAACCAGTAGCTGTACCTGTATCAACAACTCATTTGATAACAAGAGAAGGTTAAAGAAAGCACAAACAAAGCTTCCTCTTGCAATAAAGGGAGTGACCGAAGTTCTCTTTACCAGAAATAAAGGCAGAATATGATGCATAACATTTTCCATTGAACCAGTATTAGAGGAGTAGGATTTGGATTTAAATTCAAATTTATTTATTGGGGATTGGTTTAAAAAAGTTGGATCTGAAATTATGCCAGATCCATTTGGAATTTTCGAAAGGGCAAAATCTAAAATTTCAAATTACTTTGCAAGATTGGTATTTTGCAAATCCAATGCAATTAAAATCTTGAATTTCAGATCCAAACTGAATATTTTCAAATTCAAGAATTTTAAGTAAGTCAAAATATTTGATATCCAAATCCAAATTTAGGGTCCCAAAATGCAACCAAAGAAATTCCTACACTTATAGTCAACAGCAGAGCAGCCAAATTTCAGTACTTAAAGCTGTTTTAATAGCTAAAGTAATATACAGAAAAGAAGAACAAAGAAACATTACAAACATGGCCCCATTTTCTTTTACTCTTCAGCTTTCCTTATAACAATCTATAACTACTTATTCCATTAAGAGTTAGAACCAAAAATTCCAAAAAAAAAAAAAAAACGATGCCACAAACTAGGACATCTTCATTGCTTTTCCTCCATTAATGAAACAATTGTTTATTTATTTACCCGCCCGGGATTTGCCCATTTTTATTCAAAAACTCAAGCACAAGATCAAAACTTGGAACTTTTCCAGCTACATGAATTTGACCAGCTTGCTAAGATCTAAACTTATAATGTTAATACTAAAACTTTCAAATTTACCTGCATTACTAATAAATTTTCAGTTCAAAAAGTTATCAAATTTAAAATTTATGCATTTGCTGAGAGTTTACAATAATGATCGCAATATCAATGAAAAAAAAAACTAAATTTGGAGAAACATTTTACTATTTCTAGGCAGATCCGTCACTTTTTAACGTTATTTAATTAAGCTTCATTTCTAAAAAAATAAAAAATGCCCACGATTTCATTCCAAAAATAGCATTCTTTTTTTTAAATAAAAAAAAAGCAGAGTAAAAAACCCAAAGCACATCAAAGCGAAATTAAAAAAAAAAAAAGAAGTTGTAAAACGATCAAAACAGCAAAGCATTCTTCGCAAAATACAAACAAAGAATCGATTCGAAACATACTTCGGAAAGAAAAGAAGGAGATTCTTTTTCCCGCGAAACAAACGGAGGCGAGAACGAATTTTAACGAACCTGAGAAAATAAGAAGAAGAAAAAGAAGAAGAAGAAGAAGAAAGCAGGGGAGTCCAATGAGGCCACCTTGGGATTTGCGCCGTAAATAGGTTTTCTTTTTTCTTTTTTTTTTTGAGAATGAATGAGAGAGAAACAAATACTATCTTTCCTTATTTGCAGTTATACTTCGATTTCAAATGAGTTTCCTTGTCTCGCCATTAAAGAAATATATATATAGAGAGAGAGAGAGAGAGACTCAAGAGTCAAGAGAAGAAAAAAAATGAAATTCATTCATAATTTTCTCTTTATGCTAAATAAAATTAGAAATCAATCAAATCATTAATGAACCTGGGATTTATGGAGTAAAGGCAAGGAAAGCAATGTTCTATACAAAAAAAATAAAATAAAATTATGATTTTCTTTTGTGATATGATTAGTAATTAAGAATTTTCTCGGTTCAAAAAGGAATAATTATAACTAGGAACTTCCTTACAAAGGTGGGACTTGGACGTCTAAGGGCGGTCCATAGATGTTATTTTCTTAGTCCATTTTCGACATTAGATTTTTGAGTAAATGTGTTTGTTTCCTCAATTAGTCATTTTCTTTCTTGTTTTCAGTGTTGTCAGTGTGAGTTATTTCCCTCAAGAATATATATTATTTCCACTTATAATGAAAATGAATTACTATATTATGATAGCTACTTGATTTTCAAAAAAAAAAATTATGATAGCTACTTTATTAGTCCTTTTTTTTTTTTTTGCTTGCTTTAAATTGGGTCATAACTTGATGGCTTTTTTCACAATTCCTTTCTTCTTTCTGTTTGATGTGGCAGAAAATGTAAAGAGTAAAAATTAGTATATGATCCTTTTAAAGTTTTGTTGACTCGAGTAACCAATTAACTTTGGCATAAATTATCTATGCAAAATGTATTTTTTTAACATTTAAATATTTGACTTGATGGGTATTTACGTGTTTTCTATTTAAAAATTAGATTTATATTCTCTGTTTTTTGAATTATATATATTCTTGGAGCTTTGATGTTTTTGTTGATTGAATCAAATGACTGAAAGTAAATATTAAAGACACTTCTCTGTACCTTTAATATTGGCTTAAATTTTGGCATAAGGAACTCCTAACTTTGCTTATCAATAACACAATCTTCCACAAAGTGTAAGTTAATCTATCTTCACAACTTATTAACTTACTAATAAATTCGTAATTTTAAAGCTAAAGCTTTACTTTGCATGCATACATAACTTATAGGCATGTGTGTGCTTTCAAATCATGAGCACTGTGTAGGTGTTTCTCCTTTTTGGGTTTAGGTAGTTGTCCATAGCGGATATTTTTTTTTTGTTTTTGGTTAAGCTATTGTCTGTATCCATCTTCTATTCATAACGTGAACTTGCTACCAACTCTTTGAAAAAAGAATCACGTTTTTTTCGTTAATATATAATTTTGATCACTAAATCTATGTTGAATGGAAAATTTAAATACGTACAAGATATCTCTTTAAAAAAAATTAAAAAATATCAATAAAATTCGAGACGTGGGTGAAAAGTACGTGACCTGGAGTATAGACTAGACTTTTCCCGATGGCTTATAAGTCATGGGGCGTGGTTAGGCAGCCATCCCACCACATTAATTACTCCAGCAGCCTTCCTATTGCTCTCTTACCTTAACCATCATCCATATACCAGAAAAGAATTAGGCAGGAATATCAACACTAACGGCTTATGAATTGAAGATTTCTCTGCTCCTTTTCTCAGGTTTGACTCTGATCGAGGGAATTGGATGAATTTGAATGAGTAGTGTTTCTTCTTCAACTGTTTCTGTTATGCTTCTTCTTTGTTTTAATTTATTCAAATGAAGCAATCTGGTGCCTTTACATGCCTTAGCTAATAGCTACATTGCCCGAACTCCAACGAAAGAAGCTTGGTTTCTTCGGCTTTGTTGAGACTTTATGTTATACGCATGCATCGAGAGTCCTTTTCTTTGCCACAAATAAAGGAGTTCCAACTAATAGATTGAGTGTTGATTTAAGTTTGGAAAACTAGATATTAGTAATTTTAAAGTCTTAAATTGGCACAAAACGGATATGATTTTATTAGTTTCTTATGAAATTAAAATTTAACAAAATATTGAAATATTATCTTATTTTAAATTACTTACATATACTAAATGACATCATAATCCATAATTTTTATATAATATTTCATTTTAATCCATAATCTATTAAAATTAAAATTTTGAATCCAAGATTTTTTAAAAATATTTTAAATCTTTACATTTCATTAAATGTTATTAAAATCTTACAATATATCTCGGCTTAATGTGACAATATCAAAAAATATATATGTATATAAACCTACTTAATATCTTGAGTTGAAACTTATATTATATAGATGTTCACATGTGCTAAAGTAGCTGATGGAATGGATAGATTTATAACATTTTCAAATCAACATGGATCAAAATCTAAGTTTTAATATCACGAATAAAAATAAAATGTTGCATAAAAATTATAAATTGTTGATGCATTTTAAGTCATTATATGGATTATAAATTTGAATAAGCAGTTTTCTATAAATTTGTTTCATTCCAATTATACAAATAAAAACATTAGAATCAACAGGATAGGATAAAAAATCAATTAATAAGTTATTCAACAATTCGTATAGGTTACATATGATGTTTATTGTGACATTAAAAAATCTACAGTAACGTTTAAAATCACTAGCAGCAATAGTAACCTTCCAAAACCGTCAATGCTAAGCGGTTTTCTTTAAAGAATTTCAATTTTATTTATTGTAACATTGGTTTTTTTAATGAATTATAATTTATTCAAAATGATACTATAAATTTCTTTCGATTGAAGAACGTAAAACTTTTGATATTCTGCCATGGTGAATCAAAGCACGTGATCTATGCTTTTAGCCATATTTTTATTAATTATATTATATCATATTATTATAGTATTAAATTTTGAAAAAAATTTAACAAATATAAAAAATTGATTGAACGGGATGAATTGTGTTAAAGTAAGTCTGTCATTAATTTATATCCAGAAAATTAACTTGATGGAGTATACAAGTGTCACGAGCCGAGTGGTCAGCAACCCAACCTGTGAGCCCAAACAGAAAAGAAGCCCAATCCATCTGCACACAAAAGGTTGAAAGTGGTTACACATCTTTTTTTAAAAATGTAAATAAATTGATGTAAATTTAAATTTAAATATATATAAACATAATATTCAAAATTTAAATCATGTAAATATTTTAGTCACGCCTGCCTCCGTCTAGAGGTGTTTGATATGGATTTACTTTAGATTGAATTATATTACTTTATCATAAAATTATTACTTTTTATTCAAAAATTAATATAATAAGATATCTTATACTCACATTTATAAACCTCTCAAAATCCTTCATATTTACCAAATGTAAGATTAAAATATCTTATTTACTTTCTCTAAAACATTTGACATGATCCATTTTATATTTTTGATATTTTGCTTTAGAGTTTTAAATTTTTTATCATAATTTTTATAAGTTTTTAAAAATATTTGAAAATGGAAGATAAGATCTAAAGTTATCAAAATTTTTAAAATTTTTAAATATTTATAAAATTAAACTTTAATACTAGAGAAATATTTAAAATTTAGTAAAAAATTAAAAGTATAATCAACCGATATTCAATTCAACTATTTTCTTGCATAGGAACAGTATTCAACTAATTATTATTTAGTAAGATTAAAAAGAAAAGACATGGATTGGTGTGGGGGGGGGGGG